TATATATGTGTGTGTGTGTGTGTGTGTGTGTGTGTGTGTCTAAAACATACACAAAGAACTAAATGATATAGGGGTGATATATAATCAATTCATTGATCTCGAGCGTGAAACTTTCCTATGTTGCTTTTAGTATATTTTACAAAATTTAACTCAAATATCATTTAATTTAAAATAAAACCAATGATAAAGCTACACATGAGAAACAAAGTAACTTTTGGCAAGTGACAACATGAGAAATGAAGTAGCACCAATGGAAACATACTTTCCATGAATCCCTTTAGAAGAGATAAGTCTAAGAAGGATGAAGGTTGATAAAGTTAGTTTAAAAATTGTAGGACACTTACCCTTATTTTGTAAGGCACCCTATCTTTGGAGGCTTATCTTACCTTAAATGACTCCTATTAATGTTATACATTTTTCTTACTAGTAATTCATTTTAGTAGTAATTGTATTAAGATATTTTCGGCCTTGTATTTTGGATCAAATAATGTAGGTAATTTTGTCCTTGTACTACTTAAGGTTGTAATTAGTAGATTAGGAGAGGTGTAACTAACAAAGTCTTGTTAGACTTATTTGGACTTAGGATGACCCAAATCTTTTTATGACTCATAGGTTTGGACGTCTACTTGCTCATGCAAGTGGTTTGGACATCTAAACCATTCCAACCTTGTCATCCAAGCTACAAATTAAGTCACACGACTTTGATATATAGTGACATCTTAACAATTTGTTAAAAGTAATCATTAGTCTAGTAGTTGTAATGATTAGGTTAAGTAGTTGGAGTTAACTTAAGCTAATCTAGGTTCTTCTTAAACTAGGATTAACTTAACTTACTCCATAAACTTCTAGACAACTAACTAGACTTGTAGACATTTAACTAGAATTAGTTAGTTTAAGTACAAGATAACTAACCTTGGTTACATTTAACCATGGTTAATCTAGCTTGCACCATAAGCCAACTAAACTCTGTATATTGTATCTTTGTATCCATTTTTTTTATAGTTTTAAGTATTATACATGATTTGGACGAAATTCCTTTCCAAACTCTCTCTTAAAACTTGTTTATCTTTTTGAAAATTCTTCCTTTTCTCTTATCCTGTCTTGAGTGTGATGAGAAATTGAAAAGACTTATCACTCTTCAAGAGTGTGGTGTCACCTAAGAGAGACCCTAACTTTCCTTGTGTGTAAAAAATGACTTCTAACATCATTGGAAGCCATTGAAGGAGTCCAAGAAGTTAAATATCCGTCCAAGAAGCTTTAAGGGGAAACTACAATAATCAAGTCTCTCCTAAAGGTTTGCATCAACCAAGCAAATAAAAATTAGTGTTTCAATCAGATTGGATATTTGGTGGTTCAACTTGAGTTTTCACCAATTTTAACTAGTTTGATGACATAATCGTTAGGTTACATGCATGACCTATTTGACTCTCAACTCAAATCGATTATGTAGTCGATCCTAATCAAACTAGTTGGTTTTAGTCAAATTTTAAAATACTGGTATCATCTAATGTTGATTACTATCTATTATATCAATTTAAAATTTTGTCAAAGAGGTGGGGTTGAGCACTTTTGTGTAATGCTAACCACTACTAAATGAAGTACACAAATGAAGAAAAGAGATAAACTTAAAGACACTACAAAAAAAAGTAAGTAATTACTGGCTTTTTTTTTTGCGGTTTCCATAAACTGCCAAAAAATGTTACATTTGTGGCCAGGATGGTAATCGCTACAAATTATTTACACTTTCTGGCGGTTTTAAACAGCAAGAATGGTAATCGCTACAAGTATTGCACTTTCTTGCGGTTTAAAACCGCCAAAACGTTCAATAATTTTTTATTTCGTTAATTATATGTGTTTTTTAGTTCTTTTATAAAATTAAAAAAAATAAAATAAAAACTTATAAAATCAATTTAAAAGAAATAAAAAAACAATTTCTAACTCACGAATAAAAGCCGCACGAAGTCCAGCCACCAAAATCATTTCTCACAAAACCTGCACTGATTGAATTTCATTTTTCATATGACTCGCACGCAAGAGAAACACGATGAAATCCGCTAGGGCACGCCAAGGTTAGTGAATTTAGGTTTTTCTACTAGTTTTCTGTTCTAGGTTTGTTTGAATGTTGTGTTGGCCTTGAAGAAATCATTGTCATTTGGATCTTCGAATGCACCAAATGGGATTCATGTGCGTGGATTTGTGAAATATGAATCTAAGTTTGAAGTTTGGATTAGGAATACCTTGTTCATTTGTTCAAATTTTGGATGGTGGTGGTGGTGTCACTTTCTATGATTGATTGTTTCGTGTGTGTGTGCTTGTATGAATAATGTTTGAGATTTTAATTGGTGTGTGTGCTTGACCGGACAAACATAATGATTGTTAGTCTTTCACTAATTATTGTAATTATTATTAAAATATAAAGATTCAAAGTAGCAAATATATGAGTGGGGCTTGTTGGTGGCCCAAAGTTATCTTTCTTGAGATTAAGACTGGGTTTTTTGCTTGGTTTAATGTTGGATTTGGTATGCTTATCTGTCCAGGTCACAATGTAGATACAAGTAATTGCTCTTTTCAGTTTTCTACAACGTAAGCTATTTTCAGTTCAGTTCTTTTTTGTATGCCATATAGCAGACTTCTGTATTCCTTCTCGTATAAGTAAGAGTTTTCATTGGTTGTTCTTACCTGTTGTTCCTATATATATATATATATATTAGGGATTCTTTTGTAAATATTGCCATGTTTAGTATGTTTTCCCTGATTTTCTCTGCTTAAAGCATCTCTTACAGTGGAACTAGGTCACTATGAATTGAATTGTATTCAAGAAAAATTTTATCCTCAAATTGATCAACAATAGAGTTACATAGAACTTTGTACAATTAAATAGCCCACTTGGTCCAGGAACAATATCATTGTACCCAATATTTAGTAAAGGTAGAGTTGAGTTCAACAAGACAACTATGTACATATGAGGTAGTTAAAGGCATCTCTAAGGAACTATACACATGATGATTTTATAGCAAGCAGCAAGATCAAAGGCAGTAAAAGACATGATGAGTTAACTTCCATGAAGCAGCACAAGGTTCCGTAAATTAAACAACATAGCATAAGCTTGAGTGGTTAACTTGTATGGAAATGAAAGTAAAATTAAAATAGCCTGGTTGATCTTTCAGCTAATAACATGATGATTTTGGGATTAATCTAACTAACTAACCCCTTAATTATTAGGAATTTAAATCTGATCCTTGTAGAATTGTACTTCTCATATTTTAAATTACTTCTTTTTCCTCCAGCTTTAGATTTTTATTCTCATTGATACCACAAGTTATCCCAGGACACATTATTTGCCTGCATGCTGGGACAAAGATTGCATTTCTATTCATGTTAGACCTATATGTATGCATATTGGTTGAAAAGAATAATCAATTCTTTATAGTGACTCATTTTTCATTCCTATCATGTATAAACAATGTTCCAGTGATTGTAACTTTCAGAGGGATCGCATTATCTATAACAAACTCTTAAGGCTTAGATAGATGACGACTCCTTATTTTTTAACCTGCATTTACAGGTGTTAGACACATTAACATCATCAAAAGAGATCGTTGACCTTTTGAAGACTGTGGATTCCCTTTTCCATTCCATATAAGCTGGATCAAGCAAGCCAATGTTGAATAACTTGTACAGATATATTCCTACTATCCGTGAACAGTTGCAGGTGATTTGATATTTCACTTCTACATTTACACTTTTCCCTATTTTATTGATCTTTCTATTGAATTGTTATTATTTGCATTTAAATACACCTTTTGACCCTAATAGTTGATTCTATGCCAACTACTAGCTGCCCATTTTCTAAACTTTTTCATATTGTTGATGATGAGTTAAGTTTCTAAACGGACTAAAATTGTCTAGTTTTAGTGTGATGAGTAAGAGCACTTACTTAAAGCATCTATAATGGGAGTTGCTTATAAGTAACTCTTGTTCACTTTAAATGGATCTCACAGTGTCACGTCACTCATAAGCAATTCATATTATATTTTTACAATTTTTGTTCTAATGAGAATTATTTATAAGCACCTCCACTTTTTTAAACTCATACTACACTTTTTAATAATTCACACTATACTTTTTGATAAATTTTTAAAAAATTATTTATTATAAATAATATATAAATATGAATAATAAACAAAACAAAATACATAATAAAAAAATATGATAATAAAAAAATTACATAATTAAAAGAATTATAAAAAATTAAAACAAAATTAAATATAAAAATTAAGAAATTATAATTATTTAACTTTTTCTTACATTTTAACGTTATAAAAAGATGCAACATCTTTTGTGACCAAGTCACATCACAAAATAAATATATTTAACTTTTTTTTACATTTTAATTAAATAATATATTTTATATTTTCATAATAAATATAAAAGTTGCATTTCTCTCACTCCCACTCACAGTGCCACCGCTTTGGGGCAGCACATTGTTTCTCTCATTTCCAAGAGTGAATGCAATGCAGCAGGAGATAGAAAAATTTGTCCAATGGATTGCTTCCACGAAGCAATTTTGTAAAATAAGAAACGCTGCTTGTTGAAGCAACGGAACATTCCTTTTTTTTTTTTTTTTTATAAACTTTCATGTCACATCAACTCATTAAAAAAAATTGGCTAAAACTTGTGAAAGTCTTGTTATGCTCATTCAACACCCATTTTAATCATTTGTATTAAATTTCAATACGGAAACTAAGGTTCACTCAATATGTGCATAAATATAACATCATACTAATTTATAAAAATCAAATAAACCACCTAATTTTTCTAAACACTAAATTACTAGGTAGACATTAATTATATCACAAATTATTAATAAAATACAAATATATAACACATACATACAAGGGGTCCAATTTAGAAAAATGCCTAAAAC